AAAGGTTAATCTATCAAGATGATATAATAATCCTAAACATTTATGCACCACACAACAGACCCTCAAAATATATGAAGCAAAAACTGATAGAGCTCAAGGAGAAATAGACAAATCCACAATTACAGTTGAGGACTCTTAACTGACATAACTACTGAACAATCAGCAAAGATACAGAACTCAACACCACTATCAATCAACAAGATCCAACATATGTGGAACATTCCACCAAATAAGAGAATAATGCGTTTTTCACGTACTTGTGCAACATTCATTAACAGAAGACCACAGAACATCTGCCAAAAAGACTACATCCTAGGCCACAAAACAAACCAACAAATTTAAAAGAAGTGAAATCATACACAGTATATCTCTGTCCATAGTGGAGTCAAACCAGAAATCAATAAAAGAAAGATAAGAGGAAAATCTTTTCTTTTTCTTTTTGAGGAGGGGTCTCTGCCACCCAGGCTGAAGTGCAGTGGCACAATGTTGGCTCACTGCAACCTCTGCCTCCTAGGTTCAAGTGTGCACCACCACACCTGGCTAATTTTTTGTTTGTGAAATGGAGTCTTACTCTGTCGCCCAGGCTGGACTGCAGTGGCACAATCTCTGCTCACTGCAGTCTCAGCCTCCTAGGTTCAAGTGATTCTCTTGCCTCAGCCTCCTGAGTTGCTGGGATTATAGGCACCTGCCACCACATGTGGCCAATTTTTGTATTTTTTGTAGAGACGGGGTTTCACCATGTTGCCCAGGTTGGTCTTGAACTCTTGGGCTCAAGCAATCTGCTGCCTTGGCCTCCCAAAGTGCTGGGATTACAGGTATGAGCCATTGTGTTGGGCCATATGACATTCTTAAAATGACAAAATTATAGAATTAAAGAATATTCATTGCCAGGGTCTGGGACAGGAGGGGAGAGAGTGGCTACAAAAGAGCAGCTTGAGGGAAACTTCTGATGGAAATGCTGTGTATCTTGACTGCACTGACGTCAATATCCTGGTTGTAAGATTGTGCTATAGTTTCGCAGGACATTACCATTGAGAGAAAGCTGGCAGAGGATGCGTGGGATCTCTAGTATTTCTTGGAACTGCATAGGACCCTATAATTATCACAAAATCCAAAAGTTAATTTTTTTTTAAAAAAAGTATGTTTAGTTCCTAGCTCTGCCATCTTCTAACTAGGTAGCTGAACTTGAAGAGATTTTAAACTCTCTATCCTCAATTTCCTCATTCACTAAATGAGGTAATACTATCTGAAGCATTATGAAAATTAAACACCATATCTGAAAGGGTCAGGCACAATGTGCATAACACACAGTCGGTGTTTTAAAACGGGCCTGTCAACACTAAACCTCTACATAGACACAAATATTAAACAGCATCATTCAAATCTCCAGTACTAAAACCACTGCAGAGCACTCTATTTAAAGTCTCTTCCCTGGCCGGGTGTAGGGATTCACACCTGTAATCCCAGCACTTTGGTAGGCTGAGGCAGGTGGATCGCTCGAGTCCAAGAGCTTAAGACCTGCCTGGGCAACCTAGTGAGACCCCCATCTCTACAAAAATTAGCTGGGTATGGTGGTGCACACCTGCAGTCCCAGCTACTCAGAAGGCTGAGGTGGGAAGATTGCTCGAGTCCACGAGGCAAGACTACAGTGAGCCATGATAGTGCCACTGCACTCCAGCCTGGGTGACAGAATGAAACCCTGTCTCAAAAAATAAAAATTAAAAAATAAAATAGTCTCTTTCCAAAGTGATCTGTTCAAATAAAAATGCGTGGGTGGGGGGTGAAAAGGAGGAAAGGGGATTTTTGAAAGATGAATTTCTAACTTGTTTTTGAAATGGTCACAACAGATAAAGTGAGTTTAATATGGAACTATAATCAGTAAAAAAACGAAGTTGGAAAGGAATATAGGATACTAGTTAACACATTTTGTTGTAAGAAAGTCAGTGAAAGTTAATCTTTCTATGCATCAGGAGAAGGTTAAGGTTGAATTTTCTTTTTTTTTTTTTTTTTTATGCAGTCTCCCACTGTCACCCCGACTGGAGTGCAGTGGTGTGATCTCGGCTCACTAGAACATCCACCTCCCAGGTTCAAGCGATTCTCCAGCCTCAGCCTCCCAAGTAGCTGGGATTACAGGTGCCCGCCACCACGCCCAGCTAATTTTTCGCATTTTTAGTAGAGACGGGTTTCATCATGTTGGCCAGGCTGGTCTTGAACTCCTGACCAAGGCTGGGATTACAGGCGTGAGCTACCGCACCCGACCAGGTTGAGTTTTCTAAAATGCACTTCATACACTGATTTAGACTGAAGATTCTAAATACTTTCTCCACCTCCTGAGTTAAAAGAAACTAGAAATAGCCAAACTGCTATACTTTTATGCTTGCCTGGTTTTGAGGTCTGGACAATCAGAAAAAATAAAATCAGGATCTTTACGAGAGAAGTTAAAGGGCAGGACCTGAGACAACCAAATGCACTGTGTCACAGACGCTGTGGGGAATTCTTAAACAATCGATCCCAGTGAGCTATGCTGGGCACCTAGTCTTTCAAGTTCAGGAAGTATCCGACCAGAGCTCTGACTCACCAAGGCTTTGCAAAGAGGTAATATGAAAAAGGGGGTTTTATCAAATTATTTTCTTCCCTTCACAATCCTAAAGGAGCTATTTCTATTAAAATGAAATATTTCCATGAGAATCCGTCAAGTGGGAATACTGGCCTGGAAGTCTGGACTCCAGCATAGAGACCCAGTAAGGAGTCACTTCATCTCTACGGCTGAGGCAGGGGTCCTTATGGGTGAAGTGAGAGAAATGTACAGAATAGGTTTCCACAGGGCTTTGCTAAATTTAAAATCTCCCAGGCACCAGAAAACCTAGTCTCCAGGTAACTTTTCTGACATGGCAAACTTCTCTCCACCTCTGCTTTGAGATAATTTTCTTTGCCTCTAACTTGGGGTTGGGAAAAAAGCGGTGAGGGGATAAGGAAAGGGTAGAGAGGGAGGTGAGAAAGAAAAAAAAAGGAAGAAAGGGAAGGAAGAAAAGAAGGGAAGGAAGAAAAGAAGGGAAGAAAGAAAGGGAAAGAAGAAAGGGAAGGAAGAAAAGGAAGGAAAAAAGGAAGAAAAGGAAGGAAAAAAGGAAGAACAGGAAGGAAAAAAGGAAGAACAGGAAGGAAAAAAGGAAGAACAGGAAGGAAAAAAGGAAGAATAGGAAGGAAAAAAGGAAGCGAGGGAGGGAAAGGGAAGGAAGAAAAGGAAGGGAGGAAGAAAGGGGGGGGAAGGAAAGGGGAAAAAGGGAAGGAAGAAAAGGAAAGAAGGAAAGGAAGAAGGAAGGAAGAAAAGGAAGGAAGAAAGGAAGAAAAGAAAGGGAGGGAGGAAGGAAAAAGGGAGGGAAGGAGAAGAAAAGATGCTATTTAGGTGTAAGCAAGGTTCCACTATTCCCTCATCACCTGTTTTCTCCAGATTTCCTTCTCTGGGGCCCTTTAACACAGGCTGACAGTACTCAGAGACTAGAACGCTGACTTTATCAACGCTATAGTTCTTTATTTCTTCACTGTCACTCAGGCTGGAGTGCAGTGGCCCAAACATGGCTCACTGTAGCCTTGACCTCCCAGGCTCAAAGGATTCTCCTACCTCAGCTCTCAAGTAGCTGGGACTACAGGTGCACTCCAGCATGCCCAATTAATGTGTTCATTTTTGTGGCACTGGGGTCTTACTATGTTGCCCAGGCTGGTCTCATACTTCTGGCCTCAAGTGATCCTCCTGCCTCAGCTTCCCAAAGTGCAGGGATTATAGGCATGAGCTATGACACCTGGCTGACTTCTACAGTTTCTTTCACAAATATGGCAAAGAGAAAAAAGGAAGCAAGAGATAGGAGGAGAATCTGGAGATTACAATCTGTATCAATTCAAACAAAACAATTATTCCACAATGGAGGAATTCTGAACACTGGATATCCGGCGATATTGAGCTATTGCTAATTTGATTTGCTAATGGTACTGCAGTTTCCTGATGCAATTACACAAAGTTGGATTTGCTTGGAGACCACGGGGGAGGGCACAGGTGAATAGGATTGGCACAGAATTGATAGCTGCTTTAGTTGGGGGGGTGGGTACTTCATAGTCATTCTATTTTCTCTACTTTTGCAAATGTTTTAAGTTTTCCTACTAGAAACTGTGGCTCACACCTGTTATCTCAGCACTTTGGGAGGCTGAGGCGGGAGAATCGCTTGAGCCCATGAGCTTGAGACTCGCCTGGGCAACAGTGAGAGCCTTTCTTAAAAACAAACAAAAAGTAACTGGTTCCCCGTCCAGTCTCCACTGCTCTTATTTGAAGCTCAGCTGGAGGGCAGGGCAAGCTGCACTCCTACCCCAGAAAGCTTCCAGTGGGAAACGGGAAGATGCCATTCTGCTAGGGCACATCCAGGAGGGGGCTAAGTGCCAAGCCCCCACGCCCCAATCCCAGAAGCTGGCCTGAGTTCCCACTCCCACAGTGCACAGGCACCCTAGAGAGGGCAGAGATAGGCCGCGTGCCGTGACTCATGCCTGTAATCTCAGCACTTGGGGGAGGCCAAGGCAGGAGGATCACTTGAGGCCAGGAGACCCACACCAACCTGGGCAACACAGCAAGACCCCATTTCTACAAAAAAAAACACCTTAAAAATTAGCTGGGCTGCTGGTGCATGCCTGTAATCCCATTACTATGGGAGGCTGAGGAGGGCTTGGGCCCAGGAGGTCGAAGCTGCAAAGAGCTGTGCTCGCGCCACTGCACTCCATCCTAGGCAACACAGGGAGAGACCCCCATCTCAAAAAAGGCTGGGGGTGGGGTGGGGCAGAGGCGACGCTAGCAGGCTCCGGGGAATGGGTGGGGGAGTGGGTGCAGGCGGGGCTGGATCCAGCATCCTCGCCCCGGGGGTCCCCGCCCCGGCGGCCCGGACCACGGAGGGGCCCGGGCGGGGGTTAGCGCGCCGGCACACCTGGGTGCAGGTGCTGGGAGGTGGGGGGGCACGCGTCACCTTGAGAATGTTGTCAAAGATGGTGTCGCGGAACTCCAGCAGCGCCTTCTGATCGAACTCGCGGCCGTGGATGATGCGCATCTGCTTGAGGAAAGTGGACTTGCCGCTCTCGCCAGCGCCCAGCAGCAGGATTTTCACCAGGCGCCGCACCGCGCGCCGCTCGCGAGCCAGCAGCGCGTCGATGTCGCGGCTGCGCCTCCGGGCCTCTCGCTCCGCGTCGCGCGCGCCGCCGCCCGCCCTGCGCTCGCGGGCCCCGCCGGCCTCGGCCGGCAGCAGGCAGCGGCTGAGGGTCCGCACCACCCCGGACATGGCCCCTCAGGCCGCGGCCGCACCCCGCCGGCGCCCGGGGGCCATGGACGCTCCCGCCGGCGAGGGCGAGCCCGGGCCGAGGCACCGCCCCACGCCCCGCCGCTCGCCTCAGGCCGCGTCCGCCGCCGCCGCCACAGCCGCAGCCGCCGTTGCAGTAGCTCTGAGGCCCGCACTCGTCGCCCGGCCGCCACTCGGGCCCGGCGGAGGGGCGGGGCGGCGCCGCATGAAGCCCGGCGGATTGGGCTGGCTGCCGTCCATCCGGCCATGAGAGCCCTCCGATTGGCTCATCCTGCCAAGGGAGGCGGGCGGCCTTTCCGGCCTCGGGGCGGGGTCGACGCCGAAAGAGGCGGGATCTTTGAGGTGAAGGCGCTTCTCATTGGACGCCCAGGCCGAGGTTCTCTCTTGCAGAATGAAAGGGAGGCGGGGTCGCCTGGGAGGCTGAGCGGCCGTCCGCCATGGTCGATTATAATTGCTCTGAATGGACGTCAATCATGGCCAACTGGGGTGGGATTGGGTGTTTGAGGAACGGGGCGTGACCAGAAGTGCCAGGTGTACAGAAAGAGTCTCGCTTGGTTCCCAGATTGGGTCCGCCTGTGAGACCAGGACCTTGCGGAGTCCCCGAAGGCTGGGAAATACTGATAAGAGGTTCAGCTGCTCGTCGGGTTCTCTCCGATGGTCTTCCATAAACACTGGAGGGGGATGGGCCACAGATTTCAATCACATGCACCCTTTGATAGTTGCATGGGCCTCTAGGAGGCTTTCCCAAAAGCTAACTTGACTAATCACCGAAATCACCAGAAGCTGCTCCAAAAGTCTTATGCCGCCCAGTGATTGAGGTAGTGGGGTCTGGAGTTGCTGGGCCTGAATTGGAATCTCCAGTTGACCAGTTACTAGTTGTACTAGTTGCATAACTTTTTTAGCAGCTCTCCCCATCTTTTTGATGTTCCTAGCTTCAATTTCCTCACCTGTAAAACAGGGGTGTTAATAACGACATTGGTCAGGCTTGGCATTGCTCAAATCGTCATGAAGATATAAATTGAAAACATGAACTTGCAAAACAGCATGTGAGCCAGCCCAAAATCAGCTCTTGATAAAGATCACCTGATTACACATTCGTGCCTGTCCCATATCTACTGAATCAGAACCTCCTAGAAGGAGCTCAGGTATCCCTTATGAGCTCCAACTGATTGGCCAGATTGAAGAATCATGGTTTTAAGGATTATCCTGCCCCAAGTTCCCTTGCCACCATCTACAGGTGGATACAATGAAGACTAGCAGAAAAACAACATCACCCAAGGGCCAACCAGAATTCTGCTCTTTTACTATATCCTCCTAACTAGCAAGGGCTACACTCAATAGAAAAAGTGATTAGTGAATGTGATTCCATTCAATTATATACGTCATTTTTGCGTAATCATTAAAACGCCAGTCACGGGGGATTTCTGGAGAGGAATCTGAAGATGGAAAAGCTGCAAACTTTGCATCAAGAAACTTACCCATTAGGGGGCCAGACTGCTCAAATCACTGGGCAAAGTGGAGATGGAATACTTCTTACTAAACACTTGCTTTCTGCCATAGAACCAGGGTATTCAAGGATTTATTTATTTTTATTTGTTTATTTCAGTAGGTTTTTGGGGAACAGATGGTGTTTGGTTACATGAAAAAGATCTTTAGTGGTGATTTCTGCGACTTAGGTGCACCCATCACCCGAGCAGTGTACATTGAAACCAATATGTAGTCTTTTCTCTGTCGCCACCCCTGACCTTTTCTGGAGTCCTCTAAGTCCAATGTATCATTCTTATGTCTTTGTGTTCTCATAGCTTAGCTCCCACTTATGAGTGAGAACACAGGATGTTTGGTTTTCCATTCCTGAGTTACTTCGTTAAGAATAATGGTCTCCAATTCCATCCAGGTTGCTGTGAATGCCATTATTTCATTCCTTTTTATGGCTGAATAGTATTCTATGGTCTCTGTCTCTCTATAATAGAATTTTCTTTTTCCACTCATTGATTGTTGGGCATTTGGGCTGGTTCCATCTTTTTGCAATTGCAAACTGTGCTGCTATAAACGTGTGTGCAAGTATCTTTTTCATATAACGACTTCTTATCCTCTGGGTAGAAATCTAGTAGTGGGATTGCTGGATCAAATGGTAGATCTACTTTTAGTTCTTTAAGGAATCTCCACTTTGTTTTCCATAGTGGTTGTACTAGTTTACATTCTCACCAACACCGTAAAAGTTTTCCCAGCCAGGTGCGGTGGCTCATGCCTGTAATCCCAGCATTTTGGGAGGCTGAGGTAGGTGAGGGAGGTGGAAGTTACAGTGAGCTGAGATCACGCCATTGCATTCCAACCTGGGCAACAAGAGCGAAACTTAAAAAAAGTGTTCCTTTTCACCATATCCACACCAACATCTATTTTTTAAAAAATTTTTTGGATTATGTCCATTCTTGCAGGAGTGAAGTGGTATTGTATTGTGATTTTGATTTGCATTTCCCTGATAATTAGTGATGTTGAACATTTTTTCCATACGCTTTTTGGCCATTTGTGTATCTTCTTTTGAGAATTGTATATTCATGTCCTTAGCCTGCTTTTTGATGAGATTGTTTTCTTGCTGATTTGAGTTCTTTGTAGATTCTGGATACTAGTCCTTTGTCGGATGTACAGACTGTGAAGGTTTTTCTCCCACTCTGTGTGGTGTCTGTTAACTCTGCTGATTATTTCTTTTGCTGTGCAAAAGCTTTTTAGTTTAATTAAGTCCCATCTATTTATCTTTGTTTTTGTTGCATTTGCTTTTGGGTTCTTGATCACGAAGTTTTTGCCTAAGCCAATATCTAGAAGGGTTTTTCCGATGTTATCTTCCAGAATGTTTATGGTTTCAGGTGGTGGATTCAAGTCTTTGATCTATGCTGAGTTGATTTTTGTATAAGGTGAGAGATGAGGATCTAGTTTAATTCTGCTACATGTGACTTGCCAATTATCTCAGCACTATTTGTTGAATAGGCTGTCCTTTCCCCACTTTATGTTTTAGTGTGCTTTGTTGAAGATCAGTTGGCTGTATTTGGCTTTGTTTCTGGGTTCTCTATTCTGTTCCACTGGTCTATGTGCCTATTTTTATACTAGTACCATGCTGTTTGGGTGACTAGAGCCTTATAATATAGTTTGAAGTCACATAATGTGATACCTCCAGATTTGTTCTTTTTGCTGAGTCACATATCTAAACTCCCTGGAAGGCTGGGCACAGTGGCTCACACCTACAATCCCAGCACTTTGGGAGGCTGAGGTTTGAGGATCACTTGAGCCCAGGAGGTCAAAGTTGCAGTGAGGTATGATCATGCCATGGTACTCCAGCCTAGGCAACAGAGCAAGACCCTGTTTCAAAAACAAAACAAAAACCAACTTCCTGGGGACCTTGAATGCACATAATATGTATCACTTGTCATTTGCTACAAATACTACAAATCATGGCATGAATTTATATTACTTATAAGTCAAGACTTTGTAATCCTTGAAAAATGATTAGAAAGTCTTGCTTGTTTGTGGAATGACCTCATAGAAGGCCAAATATGGCTGGGTTTGGTGGCTCATGCCTGTAATCCCAACCCTTTGGGAGGCTGAGGCAGGCAGATTACCTGAGGTCAGGAGTTCAGGACTAGCCTGTCCAACATGGTAAGAACCCATCTCTACTAAAAAATACAAAAATTAGCCGGGCGTGGTGGCAGGTGCCTGTAATCCCAGCTACTCGGGAAGCTGAGACAGGAGAACTGCTTGAACCCGGGAAGTGGAGGTTGCAGTGAGCTGAGATCACGCCATTGCACTCTAGGCTGGGTGACAAGAATGAAACTCTGTCTCAAAACAAGAAAAAAAAAAGTGCCAAATACTAGGCCTGGCATGGTAGCTCACACCTGTAATCCTAGCACTTTGGGAGGCTGGGATAGGTGGATCACTTGAGGCCAGCAGTTTGAGACCACCCTGGCCAACATGGTGTACCACTGCACTCCAGCCTGGGTGACAGAGCAAGAATCAGCCAAAAAAAAAAAAAAAAGACATTGTACAACAACAGCAAATCATAATTTTAAAAAATTAATAGAAGAGAGAATGGTAAACATTGGCAATAAAATGAGAGACCTAGAAGATAAAATGAAAAAAAAAAATCTCAAAACCCAGAGGAAAAGTATAAAGAGATAAGAATTGTAAGAGGAAGGAGAGGACAGTTAGAGGAGAGATCCTGGAGTTCTAATGTGTGAACTATGAGTTCCAGAAAGAGGAAGGGGAAAGAGATGGAGAAGAGGATTTTTTTTTTTTTTTTTTTTTTTTTAGGCAGAGCCTTGCTCTGTTGCCAAGCGCCAGGCTGGAGTGCAGTGACGTAATCTCAGCTCACTGCAACTTCCGCCTCCCGAGTTCAAGCAATTCTCCTGCCTCAGCCACCTTAGTAGCTGGGACTACAGGCGACCACCACCACGCCCAGCCAATTTTTGTATTTTTTACTAGAGATGGGGTTTCACCACGTTGGCCAGGATGGTCTGGATCTCTTGACCTTGTGATCCGCCTGCCTTGGCCTCCCAAAGCGCTGGGATTACAGGTGTGAGCCACTGCGGCTGGCCAAGAAGAGGAAATATTTAAAGAAATAATAGATTCCCTTTTCTGACAGTATAGTGAGCAAAACAGTCAGATCAACCCTTCTGCAGCAACAATTTTAAATGCTGTACAAACCACTCAAAAGTTTTTTTTAAGTGTTACTGAGCTGAATAAGAAAGCCTCAAAGACCAAAATCAAAGTGAAAGCAGAGATTCAGAGTTAAACTGACACATTGTGAGGCCTCTAGCTGCCTCGAGGGGATCTGCAGAACTCTTGTAAATCTGACCTTCTGGCCAGGCATGGTGGCTCACACCTGTAATCCCAGCACTTTGGGAGGCTGAGGTGAGCAGATCACCTGATGTCAGGAGTTCAAGACCAGCCTGACCAAAATGGTGAAACCCTGTCTCTACTAAAAATACAAAAATTAGCTGGGCATGGTGGCGCACGTCTGTAATCCCAGCTACTTGGGAGTCTAAGGCAGGAGAATCTCTTGAACCAGGGAGGTGGTCGTTGCACTGAGCCGAGATTGCACCACTTCACTCCAGCCTAGGTGACAAAGAGAAACTCCATCTCAAAAAATTAAAACCAAAAAAACCAAAAACCCGATAAAGTCCAGCTACATGCT